CATATTTTACCGTGCTTAAAATGTAATACACGTTTCTAAATGATGCCGACGTAACATAATACTGATACCGGTTAGTAAAAACCATGAATTAATGCTTGACAAGTCTGCAGACAAGACGGCAGGCGAAAAACCTAAAATGCTTGTTTTCTGAATGGAGATTGGGTCGACCAGGCTAAGCTAACGTTGTATATGCTCACTCCACACTCATAACAACGGCCTACAGACATAAATAAACCAGCGACTAGAATTCCCCATGACACAGACAGTCTGTGGTTTGTACTTGTTTAACTTTTGTACAGCTTCTGAACAGATACTAGGAGCTTTGATCTCTGTGTGCTAACTGCTAACAGCTAATGGCTGATGTTTTCTGGTTGAACGTTGGCTTCCGCGAGAACGAGTCACGTGAATTTGACGCTCGAGTTGAAAAAAATTGAACTTTCGCGTTTGACGCGGCACAGTTAAATCGCGTGATTCGCACCGCTTCATGCTCGCCGTCGGAGCGACTGTCCACGTCTCTGCATTGACTTTACATGTAATCGCGCTGCCCCCAAACATCGCATCGCGTCCGGTGTGAACGCAGCATAACACTGAAGTTCTGCCACTGTCTGTGTTTAAGTGGATGTCAGTGGATGCCAAGAGCAGTCTCAGTACTGTGGACGAAATCCTGACGAAATCCAAACGGTTATTTAAATGCAAGAAATTACTCAACTGTTGAAAAACAACTTTTTCTATGATTTTACCTAGAAATGGCAGGTTTGATATTGGCCTGTAATTGTTCATTACTGAAGCATCTAGATTATGCTCTTTTAAGAGCGGTTTAATGACTGCCGTTTTCAGGGCCTGTGGAAAAACACCAGAGTGAAGAGACTTGTTTACTATATGAAGTAAATCGCCATGCAAGGAAAAACATTTTTGAAAAACCCTGTTGGAATAATATTAAGGCAGCAGGAGGAGGATTTTAGAAGTTGTATAATGTCCTCTAGGTTTTTATCATTAATCTGATGGAATTGTGTCATGGGGTTTGAATTGATTTTAGGTGGACACAACATTTGCTGTAACTGATGCAGAGGCACTGACTGCTTGTCTGATTTTCTGAATTTTGTCAGTGACGAAGGAGGCAAATTCATTGCACGCCCTGATGGATAGAAAATCAGAGGCTACTGACACTGGGGGGTTAGTTAGTCTGTCGACGGTAGTAAACAAGGCACGTGCGTTGTTTTCGGTAATTATGTCAGAAGAAAGACTGTCGTGCAAATTTCAATTCCAAATTATAAAGGCCAAGTCTCTCTTTATAGATTTCAAAGTGCACCTGGAGATTTGTTTTTCGCCACCTGCGTTCAGCTTTTCGACACTCTTTTTTCTCTGTTCTCACTGTCATGGCCTTTCTCCATGGAGATATTTTCTTCCCAGTCACATCCTTTACCTTAGTTGGAGCAATGGCATCTATAACATTTTTTATTTTTGAATTATAATGATCTACTAGCTCATTTACTGAGATGTTAGCAGGGGCAAGTGTGGAAGAAAAATTCTGAGTAAACATTTCCCTAGTATTTTCAGTTAAATATCGCTTTGTGGTTACCTCTTTTTGAACATTTTTGTGAACAGAAATAGAGCTCTCAAAGAAAACACAGGAATGATCAGAGTGCAACATCAGTCACCACAACCTTAGAGATATTCAGACCCTTTGAGATAACTAAGTCCAGAGTGTGTGCCCCTTATTGTGCATGGGCTCCGTTTAAGTGTTCATTGATGTGCATTGTCCCTGCTAAATAAACGATTAAATAAAAAAACTATTTCAGTGTGACTTATGGAGATTAATGAAGCATATGAACAGCTATTGGTAGTTATTCAGGAAAAAAAGAATCTTTTAAAACTGACACAGTTCGGTGACTTCATAATATCAATTTACTGTCAAAGTACATTCAAGCAGGCTGTACTTAACTTACTGTACACAGTTGTTAGTGATACTGTGTGTAAGTATATTGGCAGCTACTGAACACTGTCATAGTCTATGTGAACCTAAACATACATTTACCATGGCACCCTGCTGAAAAAAACAGCTTAGACCAGCTAAATTGACCAGCCAGTAGATATTAGGCTGGAATGGTTGGCTGGTTTAGAGGGGTTTTGTTAGGGCCGGCCCCGGCCCTAACAAAACCCCTCTAAACCAGCCAACCATTCCAGCCTAATATCTACTGGCTGGTCAATTTAGCTGGTCTAAGCTGTTTTTTTCAGCAGGGNATTATGCTCTGTACGGTGTCCTTGAGAGCTTTGAAAGGCGACCATAAATAAAATGCATTATATTATTAATGTATGCTGGTCACCTGGAATCCTGGTAATCTTCCAGCATGGTATATTTAATACCATTATTAAACATAAGCTGGTGATAGATGGATGCTGGTGACCACTGACCAGCCCAGCATACCAGCATACTATGCTGGTCTATGCTGTATTTTTTTAGCTGTCCAGGATGGCTGGTTTAGCTGGTTTAGCTGGTTTAGCTGATGCACCAGCTAAACCAGCTAAACCAGCCATCCTGGACAGCTAAAGTGTCCAAAACCCCTCCAAACCAGCCAAACATTCCAGCCTAATATCTACTGGTCAATGTAGCTGGTCAGGCTGGTTTTTTCAGCAGGGTGCCATGGTAAATGTATGTTTAGGTTCACATAGACTATGACAGTGTTCAGTAGCTGCCAA